CTCTGCGCCTCTCCTGAATTCGAGCGGAGGGGCTTTTTGTGCCTGGCTCTCAACAGGGTTGGGCGCGCACGATCCGCGCACGATCTGACGACTTCTCAACAGGGTCGGGCGCGCACGATTCGCGCAGGATCTGACTTCCACCGCCTCTCAACACTCTTCTTTGAAGAGTCTCTTGTACCCTCAGGAGAGAGAGAGACCCCAGGCCGTAAAGCAAAAGTTTGTATGTGCTTTACCCCCTGTGGGTGGAAGAGACCACTGTGCCAGCAGAGCAGAGCCCTGGGAGGAGGTGATTGCTAGGGTCAACGGCAAGAATGCATACTTGATATCTTTTCCTGATTGNNTGCTTCCTGTCACACTTTAGTGCCCTGGCCTGCCCATGGGGGCAGGTTGAGCCCGTAGAAGAAGAAGAAGGGCGAGAGAGTATGACATAGAAGCAGAGACGAAGACGGATATCCAGATAGAGATTAGAGATTTAACGACAAAGAGGAAGATGTACAGACACAGGGCTCAGTCCGGCTGCGACGGCAAAGCATGGACCCACACGTGCTCTGTATTGTCTCCTATTTTCAGTTGCTCGTTCCCTCAGCTGCAGCTATATCTCTCAGGTGCTCTCTCAGGCTCGCACTTGACAACAAACAGAACGGGTCTGGACAAAGGTCATCGCCATCACGTCGACCCCAGGCACANNAGCAATGAGTTCAGTCGCACGGTTTAGGGTTTAGGGTCTAGGGTTTAGGGTTCTCAGATCCCAGCGAAACCCACGCCTGAAAAAGTACGAGAAACTTGTGATCCAGCTTCATTGCTCTCAGCATCACCGCGGATGGGCGCAGGGGGCATGGACTGGATGGACTCAAGGATTGGATGAGCGAACATCACGTTGAGCGCGTCCTCCAGTGCGCGCAAGTGCTCGGCATTCACGTCTGCCACAGCTTCAGTCATGGCAGCAGTCAAGGGCCGAATGAAGGAAATGCTGATCGTCAAGAGCAAAATGCGCTGTCGCACCATGCTGACTGTCAGAGCACGCAGCGCAGAAAACTTCACCTGCGTTGACAGTGCTCAGCACCGGGCCGCGCGGAGCCGAGACCTTGGCAGTCGAGCGTTTAAGTTTGACAAACCCTAAACCCTAATAGTCCACTTTAGTAAAGTAGATGGAATATGGGGTAATTATTATCATTAATTATACCCAATAACATATTCTATTTAATTAAGGGGTGACTTATTTGAAACCAAAACAGATGATATGACTTTATACTTCAGAGCCCCTCGCTTCAACTCCTGGCTCGTAAAAAATGCCAAAACATGCTGACAGGATGGCCTCCTCCGTGAGCACTTCATCAAAGCCAACTCGCCTGGCATACGGCATATTAAGGTGAAGGCAAAAGCACCGCAGATGAGACGGAGCGGTTTTATCGGCACACCCGGCAGCCGGACACTATTCACGGTTTGTTGGGTTTAGGGTTTAAGCTTTAGGGTTTAGGGTTCAGGATGGATGTAGGGACACAGTTAAGCTTTTAACCAACCTATGGCCACCTGAGGAATCTAATTGTTGAAGGCTTAGGGTTTAGGGTTCAAACCGTATTAAGAGCAAACCCAACCCAGGATTTGCGGGTTGAGTTTGGTTTAAGAGCAAACCCAACTCAGGATTTGCGGGTTGAGTTTGACATCAGATGAAGTGCCCAGTCTAGGAGGCACGCCTCACAAGGTCATGCCGGCGGCAGCTCATGTCACCTGAGGTCAGGGAACACAGCAACCGCGCATCAGATGAAGTGCCCAGTCTAGGAGGCACGCCTTACAACGTCATCCCGGCGGCAGCTCATGTGACCTGAGGTCAGGGATAACAGCAACCGCACATCAGATGAAATGCCATCATAGGGCCATGCATCAGCGGCTGCTAACCGAGAGCATTTTTTCTCTCCCCGACTGGTCACTAGCCAACTTGTACCCCGGCTGTAGAGCTGTACCCCCTCGCAAAGTAGTTAACTGTCACTGTACACGTGCACGATCGCACTGCGGCACACATTCACGATCCACATGCATTTCGGCTGCAACATTGGACCCTTCTCACGCGGGCGATGAATTCCTTGCTCGACATTACATTGTCTAGCTCCATTCCCTGGGCAATGCGTCGAACGGTGAGCGCCATCACTTTCCACTTGCTGTTCGTGTTAGCAGCTTTCTCAGCGAAATCATCCCAGGACTGGATGCTTCTCCACTTGGATTGTGGTTGCTGCCTGGGCTCTTCGATGGGTCGCTGCTACGCACAAGACTACACAAGTCAATGAACAGTGAGAGTACACAGGGGAAAAATGCCAAACTCAAGCAATCAAGTCACATACACTGCTGAACAATCTCACTCACCTCCGGCTTTGTGGCCGCAAAGTCTTCGCATACCAGAATCTTTCGTTGGATGGAGTACGCAGCATCATACAAGTATGCAACTCCTTTGTTCTTCTGATGAGGACGCTGAGCGATAATATTGAGCATGCAATCTAGGTCTAGCACGCATCCTCCTCGTATGGTCGCTGCCCACAAAACAGAAGTAGGCGGGCTGCTCGGGTCTGACACCACATAAAATAGAGGCAGGAGGGGATCTGCGGTGATTTTGCATCCCGCAAACGCCCGTTGTTGGCTCCACTCTGCACGCTCCAGAAAGATCCACTGGCTTTCGCGATG